ATGATATTGTCTGGTGCTGCAGAGCAAAAATGCCACTCCAGAACAACTGGAAGCTGGTGCTTAAATGCACGGGTGCACAGTAGCTCCATGGAGTTTCTCTGTTCCAAATGCCATGGGACATTCAGTGCAGTGTAGCCTGAAGGGTGGTAGGGAGGCTGGATTCCTCCACATTGCTCTGCCATGGACAGCAACCTTGGCTGTGCTGTGAGAGAGACCAAGTCAGAAGGAACTGAGAGAGAAGAGCCATCCTGAGATAGGAAGAGGGGTTGGGGAAGCGTGTGGGCCCCAGGTCCTCCATCACTCTGGTGCTTAGACCAAGTGCGGCTTCATGAGTTCCTACTCCAGCTCTGGTATGTAAAGTCACCCCTTTCCCTTGCGAGAGGGTATTTTTTGTTTGTTTATTTGCTGCTTTGCTGATGTTAGAAGCTGTTTGCTAAGTTTTGAACACATGATGTTGGAGAATGTTTCTGACCTAAGTAATAGTGGTTGTGTACCAAAAGCAGGCTTAAAAGTATGGGTGTGCATAGAGAGATTAAGCAGAACAGGAAAGGAAAGTGAGAGACAGCAAGGATACTAAAGGAATGGAAGCCCCTCTGGTTGGTTCTGTTTTTCCCCACTTTAGATATTTTATTTTGCATGAGTGCCTGGCTCTGTTTGTTCTCTGGTTTTCTGCCTTCAAGGTCCTTGTCTTGAATGGGAGTTTATTTTATGTGCAGGAGGACAGGCTGAAACAGACTCACCCACCAAGCCCACAAGCCACTCCCATCTCAGAAGCTATCGGCCAGGTCAGAGTGTAAATTGGCAGTGGTGGGGGATCTGCCCTGGGCACTGTACCGGAGGCAGAGGCCTCAGAAAAAGAAGTGGGCCTGCCCACTGCTCAGCCATGGGGCTCTGTCGTGGGGATCTTGCTGCAGTCTCAAGTTTTCTGTGAGGCTCACCCCAGGTCATTCTGTCTTGCATTCAGCACTCCACAAAGGGACATATGGCCCCATGGCACTTTCACTCCTCCTCTCGTTACCTCTAGTCTACTTTTATTCAGGTTTTCTCATTCTACAACACCATCTCTTTCTACCAATCTGAATTCCATGCAGTGATCTCCCTCATCCAGTGCAGGCTCAAAAACTCCCTGACATGGGCAAATCCATAATAATCTTTCCCTTAATGACATTCTGCCAGAATGTATGTTCTGTTACTTTCACAATACTGAAGCATTCTCGTAAACCCTCCGCGATTTCTCCGTCAATGCTGAGTGATACATTTAATCCAAAGGGTTGACACATCTGTCAATCCAGGGTGCACATGCGTTTCGAGCATGCCTTCCATGCCAAACCACACCAGGCTATAATAACAAGTGCCTAGAGCCACTATGGTCCTAGAAAGAGGTCTAGGAATACAAATGGTGGCCACAAGGACAGTCAAGTCCTCTTACCTCTAAAGTCTAGGAAACACTAGTAGTAATCACTAATGGTTAAGAGCAAAGAACATGGGTACTGAAAATATTGCTTTTAGGATTTTAAAAAGCAGAGGAAACAGATGAAGCTACCATTTTGGTGAAACTTTTAAATTCTACTCGTGTAAGTTCACATTAATATTCCTCCTTGGAAATCACAATAAATGAAGTCTCTTGGATAGATTTTTAAAAATCAATTATAACTTATATGTTTTGTAATAGATGATACAGTGCCTATTTAGGTGTACATGTTATCACTTCCGAAGACATAGATCTTATATTTAATTTATTTGTGCCTAATATAGAGGCCATAGAACACATATTTCCTTACAGGACAGCTGGTTGCCAGGACCTGGTCACATGCAGTTGTAAGGGATGTTGGGAAATGTAGTCACCATCTGGGCAACCAATTGACTAAAGGAAGAAAGCAGGAAAGGATGCATGTTGGGGAGCTTCCGCTGCATAAGCATGGGAGATCTGTTCTTTAAATAAAAACAAAGATTCACAATCCAAATTGCTTCACCATTTTAAAAGATGGTTATTATCTATATCAGAGATGAGGACACTTTTCTGTAAAGGACTAGATTGTAAATATTTTAGGCCACAAAATATCACAGCAACCCTACATTGTCATGGTTGTAGAAAAGGAGCTGTAGAAAATAAGCAAACAGAAGATTTCAATCCTGCTTCAACAAAATTGTACAAAAATTTGTGAATATTTGGTACATGGACCATGGTTTGTTGACCCAAGACCTGGATAAAGGAAGAAAATATATTTGCATTTTGGCTCAAGTAGAAATAAAGTGACATGACATCTTCAGCCTGGTGAAATGTTAGCAAAATTTTTGAACCAAGGCACAAATACAGACTCCAGTTTGGCTTACCTTTTGGTTAGATATTTGCATAACTAACACACAATCAGCAGTAACACATAGCCTCTCATAAATAATTTCTAAATTAGCTTAAATAATTTTAGAAAGATTATCTAAACCTTTCTGAATTAAACTATAATCTCATTATCAATGGGGTTGCTTCTTTAAATATATACTGTACATAGAACATTGGGTGGTGGGGAGCTTAGGTAGTAGCCAAGTCCTGAAAACTAAGGAACCATAGTACTCATGTGAATATAAAACCCATGTAAATGTTGCTATTCATGTTTTCAGAAACCAGTGACTGTTACTGTCCATATTATTTTTTTTCTGAGTTTGAATTGCGAGGTTTTTACATATGCTAATACTGTCCTGCTTAGACATGAGTGCCTTCGGATGTTCTTGGGTTGGTTGGTTGTTTGGTTGGTTGGTTAATTGGTCGATTGATTTATCCTATGCTGGGCCTAGAAACCACAAGGAATACTTATGACATTGTCTCATGCCCTCATGGACTTGGCAGTCCAGTGGGGATGTCCACTTTCAACAGGTATACACAGGTTGCAGGATAATAAGTACATTAAATGCAGGACTGGATCCCAGCAGAGTATATAATTGAAGACTGGGTTGTTAGAGAAGGTCACTGTGGTAAAGTGAGTTTTAAAATAAGGCAAGACATTTAAATAATGTATAGTTTTAGGAGCAGATATTTGTGTATCTTTTTCTTTTTTACTAATCTGTAACTAAAAGCAGAACAAATAAAGCAAAAAATGCAAAGTAGTGTATTCATTCATTTTGTAGAGAAAGAAAATAAAATGTACTCTCATGTCTGAGCAAAAGAATTCTGAATCTTTTTGCTTGGTGTTACCTTTGTGCCCAGCTCCTAGCAGATATCTCAGTGAGAAGGCTCCTTCTCCTTCCTATTTCTCACCACTTCCTTCCTGTGAGTCCACAAACAACAAGAGATGTCAGCATGGCCTGAGGTCCTCAAACTTTTCAGAATTTGTGCACAGAGCCGGGACCTGGAATGAGTGTTTCTAAAAACTCCCGGTAAGGCAGTCTGCTGGTCTGGGGATCTGCTTCTAGCCCTCACCCCTCCATACATGAGCCAACCTTCATTTCACTCTGCTGCAGGACATGGTGGCTCTATGTTTCTGTGGTTTCTCGCTTGACCCACTTCTCTGGCTGTCCTTCTCAAACGCTCTCCACTGACATTTTTACTGTTACCATTCACGTACACAAATGCATATAAATGTTGGTGAGCTCCAGGACAGAAAAATAATTACTCTGAAATACTATACATAACAAATGGCATGAGTGGCTAATAAAATAGATAAATTGCTGTCTGGCTTCCTATTGAGTATAAAGTGATATGTTTGCTAAAAATTTGTCATTACTATAAGAGGGTTGAATGTTTTCAGTCAATATATATATGAAAGATTGGCCCCTTGGGCTCCTTGCAAAATCTCTCCTCATCTCCTTCTGCATTCAGGCTCTTATGAAACTCGCCAGTCATTCTTTAAAGAAGGCAGAGATATGACATCAGGGGCCCATTGCAGTCATCTCAGTTTATTTCTCAGGGACCCATTCAGTCATCTTTCTTATTTAATCATTTCTACAAAACCACCAACACTCCGTTTTTACAGATAAAGAATCTGAAGTTGATGGAAATAATTATTGACAGGCATGGAATTAAAACCCAAATAGCTGGGCTTGGTGGCAAACGCCAATAATTCCAGTATTCTATGTGCCTGTGACAAGAGGATCACAAGCTTGAGCCCAGCCTAGGAAACTCAGTCACTTAGTGATCATTTATCAAAATAAAAAAATTTTTTTTTGTTTAAAAAGGGATCTGCAAATAATGTGAGTTTAATCCCCAGTCAAAAATAATAATCTGCTGTTATTTATAATATTGGACAATGAAGAAAGTCCTTGTTATTGTCATTATAAAACTTGTGTATAAGTATGCATGTTTATAAGGAACAGGTTCTCTCATATATTTTCTCAAGTCCACTTGTTTAAGATCCTCTTAGTCTTTAGGAATTAGTAATTTAATTATTAATAAGTTAGGAATGCGTGCTATGTTAGACCTTCCATAATACTTGTTTCCCACATTGGATGCAATCATAATGAAAACACCATCAAGCCAACCCTATTTTTACATGTATTTCTAAAGGCACACTCATAGGTCGACTCTCATACTTCTCTTTCTCAACTGTAAAGTAGGAATGAAACTGGCGGGGTTAGTGCTATAATTGTGTAAGTTTAAAGGTTTATAGAAATGTGAGAAATAAAGTAAGGCATTGCAAAAATAACCATGTTCATCTCCATAGATACATTTATTTTAGGAATATTCTCTTGAACCTGGACTCAAAAACAAAATTGTGTAATCAACATTAGTTCATGAAAACAAATCCAAAAGAACTCTAAAGCTGTAAAAATAGTAGAGCTGGGATGGGTGCCCAGCAACACGTACAATATTGCATCTTTATCCTATAACATATATGACGCAGATATACTATGCAGGCTTTTGTGAACAAGCCCAGACGTGAACTCCAGAGTGAACGGCACATGCGATTAATTCTGTGCCGTCATAGATGCGATCTTATAATACTGCTGCTGCTTACATTTCATCAGCTTTGGAAGGGCAGTAAGAGGATGTGGGTGATCTCATCTGCTAGCCAGCTGTCCAGGATCCCAGGTAAGGTAGGTCTCTCTCATTTGTTTCAACAAGGGTTCTCATAGTAATTCCTTCAAACTCAGTACTTTTAGAACTAGCCACTTCAGGGGCCGCTGTAGTTCTGGGACTAGCTTCTCTTGCATCACCTGTGGGCTTTCTTCTCCGCCTTGTCTGCTCACCCATGTTACTGAGTGTGATCTGGAACTTAAATGAGTTCACCAACTTCCTGTGCTTCTGTTGTCTGTGGTGAGCAGGGGCCTTTGTTCTGGGCTGACAGCTTCTCACAGCAGTTTCCCTGCTTTTGGCCTCCTTTGCACGGAAGCATATAACTGGTTATGGTCTCAGAAAGGAGTTGGTAGTAGAGGGCTAGCTGGTATCTCTTCAGCCACTTCCCACCTCCCCTGGTAATGCTGGGCCAGCAAGAGGAAACAGGCAGCCTCCAACCAGTAGCTCAGTACACCCCAACCCTCACCAACCCAGCAGCAGTATGGTCAGCTCACCCTGACCTTGACCCCAACTCTGACCCGAACCCGAATCCTAGGAGCCCATGGGCAAGAATGGAGATTTTATTGCCTCCCTGTTACAAAAACAAAGGCTCAGAAGAATGGAATCTTGCCCAAAGTCACTCAAGTGGAACCCAGAGTGAGACCTGGGGCCCATTCGGTCTACTTGTACTTTGGAAAGTCTGAACTCCCTATAAAATATAACCCATTAAAATATTTAGGAGCTAGTATTGTGCACAAGTACAGCTCTTGCCTCCTTGCATTTTAGCTTCACCATTTGCCTGGAAAATAGGCTAATAAATTTTATCTAGACTGATTTCTCTTCAGCTGTACCCAGGTAACATTTAGGAGTCAGCTGCTTTGGGGGTGGATTATTAAAAATGGAAGCCCAACAGCTAAGATTGGAAACGTGCCAGTAGATCAAGACTGTAAATTTCTTTCTCTGATTAGTTTTCGCCCTCTAGCTGACAAAAATTGGCAATCATGTAGACATTTCCAAAACCTCCAACGTTTCCATTGGCTATGGTCTGATCAGCCTAGAAGCCTGAATTCCAGTCTAGAAGTCTGTAGCAGCATCCATATATTCCAGATATCCATCCCTCCTACTCTTTTCTGCTTTTTCTGAAAAGCTTTGTTACTCAAGGGAGGCTTGACAGCCTGGCTTCCCTGAAGCACTCTGCATGTTTATTATATTTTGCTCTTGCTCTCTCAGTTCGATTAATCACGAAAGTAAAATAAAATAAGGATAACATCAGATGTGTAGCTCCTCTTGTCTACAGACAGCTCTTCCCTGAAGTCTGTGGACTCCATTTGCAGGTTCCATCTTCAACCTTCTCTAACTCAACCATCTCTAAAAGGCAGACCAGGGAAACATCACAGTGTTTAACAAGGCAGATTACCTATTATTCATGACCATAGCCAGGAAAATGTGTGGCACCTACATGTCATTGTCCTGACCATGGTCTGTGCCCTGCATTGTAGGTGCTGATGTTCAGACAGCACTGTTCATGACAAGGACCCCAAACTTGTATACTACCATGCATCAGTCCTTTGTGTTCCTTGTCTCTCTTTTCCTGGTACTGTTTGTATTTGTATTTTAGGCCAGCCAAAAAGTAGGTGTGGGGGAACTAATTAGTCGAATCTAACTAGGTTAATTTAAATGTCTTATCTGGACTTTTGTTATTTCAATTAATTCTGTGTCCAGTAGCCTTGAGTTTTGAAATATTGATGAAAATCAGTCATCTCAGCCAGGCATGGAGGTGTATGCCTTCATTCTCAGCATTCAGGAGGCTGAGGCAGGAGGGTCACAAGTTCAAGGCCAGCCTGGGATTCAAAGCCAGGTAGGACTACACCAATGAGACTCTCTCAAAAAGAAAAAAGAAAAAGAGGGCCAGGGATTTAGCTCAGCCACCTGCCTCGAAAGTTCAAGGTCTCAAGTTTGATCCCCAGTACCCAAAAAAAAAAAAAAAAAAAAATCTCAAATAGGTAAAGTTTTGCTGTGAAATTCAGTAAAAGTCTGATCATAACATGCTGGCAAGGGAGGAATATGGCCTGGATCTAAGGAACAATTCAGCATCTTGTGTTACATTTCAGCTGTGCTTCCAGCTGTCCAAGGTGTTTGTCCAAAATAGCTTTACTTTGTGAACAACTTCCAATTATTTACATGTTGCACGCTGTTCCAGTTTGTGACAATCCCTTAAGGGAAAGAATGTCACATTTGGGTCTGACAGATAGCAGCATGGGGAGCTGGGTCGAGCAGGGGAGGAGAAGGCAGGACATGGACAGAGAGGTGGGTGGGTGTCAGAGGCTGGGAAGGAGGCTGGGCCTGCAGGAGTTCCCAGGAGCAGTGCACATGTGGAGAGCGGGACAGCAGCGTGAGATTGTCCAGGGCTGGAAACATACAAACAGCTCCAACCCACGCTGCCAACTATAATTAAAAGTAATTAACTACTTTTGCCTATGTTTATTTTGAATAGCCAGTTCTTACTTCCTAAACTGCAACGTAGACCTATGGATATCTGATGTGTTATTTTGTAGAGTAGTACAAATTATAAGTTCTCAATATTTAGTTAAAACTAAGCTGTGTGGAATTAAAGTCAAACAGAACACACCCCTTTTGTTTAGACCATAAGAGGCCAAAAACTAATATTTTCTCCCTCTCTCTTCTTTTTCCTCATTCTTATCAAGTATCACATGTGCCCCAAACCTCTGTTTCCCAATGAAAAGTTTATTCCATAGAAATTTTTTGTTTGTTTATTTGTTTTTGTGTTTTGAATGGTACAATGTAAGCAAATCAAGAGGAGAGATTATAGAATTGCAATAGATACTGAAATTATCTGCAAATGTTTGGCTTCGCATTTAAAAACCATACATAGCAAAACGTTGCGCTCTTCCTTCCAGTGCTGTGAAATGTAACCTTTACCTGATTCTTCAGAGTTGGCTATTTCCTTGTCATATTCCTTTGATTTGCTAGAGCATTGTCAACACCGTGATTGAAGTTGCTTAAAGAAATCGCTTTAATGTCTTGCTGCTCGGGGCCATCCCCAGAAGTGTCACCATCGAATACCCATTCCCAGTGCACCGCAGTCCTTCTGAGCCTTCCCTGTTGCAGCTGGCTGACCATGGTGTCCCCTCCCACGTGTCCCTCCTGCACACCACCACAGGCCTTGCCCCCCAGGACTGACTTCTGCCCTGCAGGTGTGGTCAAAGGACAAAATTACAACGTGAAGATCTGACTTGGCTTTGTTTTGCACTCTAGAATTGAGCAGCCCTTTATTCCATAAAATAGAATAAGTATGTGATAAGCTGGCAGGAGTTGGTCTTATAGACAGAAAATGGCTTAAAAGAGCAAAAAGAACAGCTGGATTGGTTCTTTCAAAGTCACTTTCCTCATAAAAAGCAGGATTATGAGACGAAACAAAAACACTGGGAGAATATCAGGTTGCTCTGTGCTACTTTTTTGCAAGGAGACAGCAGAGGGAGCTTCACTGTCGGGCCAGGGGAAACTGATCTGTTTGGGAATTTGGGTGGTTCTTTCTTCCGGATCTGGAGACTAGAGCTTTAGCTCAGCTGGCTGCACTGGAACATCTAGTCCAGAGTGAGAAGCCAGCACAGGAGCCCCTGAGCCCAATAGTGGCCTGGTCAGCATCAGCCTTTGTCTTTCCTACTCACCCGTCCCTTTCACCGCTGGAGAACCAGCTAGGTCATTAAGGAAAAGAGAATCCTGAAATTGTCTTTCATGAGTCATCAAAAGACACCCTAGGAAGATGGAAAAATCAGGTGCTGGGCAATTATCTAAAGAGTAACTTTTAGGGATTAAAATGTGGGCTATGTAGTATTCTGGGAATTCCCCCTTCTCCATTTTAGAAGATGACTTATTTTGTTACCTTTCCTGGATTCATTGTCTTTATTTTTTTAGGACTCATTGTGAGATACAGCACATTGTCATTGTCTTGCAAGATTCAGGTCGCCTGCCACCAGGCCAAGGCGCCAGGGGCCCTCTGTTGACAAATTCCCGCTGGTCAGTGCAGGTCACAGAGAATGAACAAGCAATTGATTTGGAATGGGGACAGTTAAATGCTTTAGTTCCCTGTGTTATATGGAAAAAAACAAGTGTGCGTTTGTTGCTGAGATTTGAGTCATAAAAATGAGCACATGCTTTTTATTCTACTTTATCTTCCTGGCAAATTCTGCAGATTCTTTGGATACTTGCCTGATGCAAAGTCTAGGTCCAATTTCTTGCTGTTCTTTGATCTCACAGACCCTTTCAAGCAGTCAGTGTGAACGTCTACTCGTGACCTTTTATGTTTAGAAGAGTGTGGAGCTCTGTTCTTTGCTCATCTTCTTGTTAGCCCAGCCGCTGGGTGAGGCGTGGCTCTCTGTGTGTAAATATTCATGTGCAGATGATCTGCTGGACTTGTTGAAATGGGTTGACATTTTTATACAGGAGGATGTGTACTAAATATGTTCTCTGCTGTACAGAATTTGACCATCCGTTTTGGGGTTCTTTACATGCGTTGAAGGCAGTGGCATTTGCTCTCTTCAGGTTTTAGGGCTTTGGTTTTATCTTCTCAAAAACGAGCAGTATCAATTTCACAGAGTTGTTCTAGTTAAAAAACAATGTGGAAAACTCTAAAAGTACTGGCTCTCAGGCTGTCCCCTTGTCTTTTTCTTGCAGCTGCTGAAGAGCTGGTCAGTTCAGAATGGGAAACCACTTGGGAAAGCGAGAGTTAAGCGCCGAGAAGGGCAATAAGGTAAGGCTGGGCTGAGCTTGCCATCTGAGCTGTCCTGAGCGAGCCTGTGGTTTTGGTTATTAAACACAAAGCCCCTTGATCTGGCCTGGGGTGAAGGGGTGTTTCTAACACAGCTCCTCACTGATGGCTTAGAAGAGATTGTGTCGTTATTATCCTTATTAATTTGTTCAGGAAAACTGTGTCGATAGGTAGGTCCTGTCCTTGCCAAGAAATACGAGGAAGGAAGAAAGGCCAGGGATGGAAGGAAGGAGAAAAAGAGGAGAGAGAAAAAAGAAAGAGAAAAATGGAAAAGAGAGGCAAGGAGGCCTAGCCCCATCCATGTCACGTTTGATTTGTCAGGGAAGTTTTCACAGAGAAGGGAGATTGTAAAATTCCTTTGCTTTCCAGAAAAAAGAGATTTTTTTTTTAACATTTCCTATTTTCTAGTTGTACCTTATTTCTAGATTTCACTTTGTCAGCCACTGCTTTGAAAGAAGCATGAAAATATAGACCAATTCATGAACAGTGGAACTGACCATATATTCTCTTAACTCAAAAGCCTAATTCCTCATATTAACTTCCAGCTTTTGCTCTCCTTCCCTTTCACCTCAGAACCAAGCTCTGGCTTTTGCTCTGGTGTGCAGAGAAAGTTCCCAAAATATGGGCTAAAGAACTCATTCTAAATCCCCTGTGTGCCCCATATGTGACAAACAGCACTATATTGATGATCCACCTTCTGAGTTCACCCCTGATGCTCACTCAGGGCCCTTCTCTCTCATCCATTAAATTCTGCAGTCCCTCTCCTGTCCCTTGCTTTTGGGGGTCCTGCTAAGCCTGAGTGCACATCACAGTCTCTTCAGAACTACTGGGTCATCCCCTCATACCTTAGAACTTAGGGGTATCCGTAGCACACAAACTGACACCAGCCCCACCACAGGCTGACGGTGGTTAGCCTTTCCAGTACTATCTGCTCCACACACCCTTCCCCGCCTTATTGAAGTCCATTTGGAAAGTACAGATACGCCAACAGGAAAAATGCAATTCATCTCAGTCCTTCCAGCTAGTCAGAGTTGACGTGGTATTTCTAGCACATCATCTGCATCTCCCACATTGTATAAGAATCGGCTTCCTCCCTCTAACTGGGATTCTCTGCATTAGCTTCTACCCCCGGAGCATCTCCATGGAGTGGCCCTCAGTTTCCTTTTGAGTCACTTGTGACATATGATGTCCACATGTCAAGGAGGCCCCCATTGCCTTACTCTCTGTCCACTACTTTGTCCACCCCTCAAGACATGTTGCAGATTATGAGGAAATAGGCCTGGCAGAGCACACAAGCCCTTGAATCCACCCTAAATGGTAGGGGCAAGAGGAACTTCAGTTCTTTTGTCATCGCCCTCGAATTTAACATAAAACCGCATGTGCTGCAGCTCAAAACAAAAGACAGTGCACTGCATTGTCTAAGGATGGTCCCACACATCCCCAGCCACTGAACTGAACTAAGCTGAAATGTGACCTCTACACCCCTTCATCATGGGCTACAGTACTGTGATGTTTAATGTTCTCTTTTCGTGATATTATGTTATACTTAATGAATTTATTTGATGAACTTTTCATTGGTGGGTCCTTCTGTAATCTGTATTTGGACTCAGTTTCTGTAACAGCCAAATGAGTTTTCATGATTTGCTGTCAGATCATCCATGTAAAACAAGTGAGCGATTGCATTGTTCATGTTCATATTTTACCCTTAAAAGATGTAAACAGTATTATCTAGTTTCTGAACTAATAATTTATAAATATGTAAATGACTCTAGTGAAAACTGAATGGATCATTTCCTTGTAATTAACAGTAACATCCAGCCCTAACATGTTCGTTCTGTAAAGAATACGGTTTGGCTGTCTCCGAATGGGAGGGTCTAGTTTCATCAAAAGTGAAAGAGGGAAGACAGCTCTGATCTGGTGCCGGGTTGTTAACGCCGTGTGGTATTTTAGGTCTCAGAATGACTGATTTGCAGCTCCATTTTCTGAAATCCCCTCTGTGGCTTACAGTCTCTTTCCCTGTTGTTTAACATGGTAAGCACTGAAATGTCCTTTTAATTTAATTCCATCAAAGTAGGATTGTTACACAGCAGAGAAATCCATTCTTGTGCCTTTGTTTTGTAGAATCTAATTTTTAAACTTCTGATGACTTAAGAGCAAATAAAAAACTGGGAACTGAAAAACTGGTTGCTAAGGGTAATGTTTTCCTGTCAGTATATGTGATTCCTCTCAAAGGGTGCAATCTATGGTGCTTCTTGCCACACAATAAAAAAAGTGGCATGCTCTCCCCCCCGAGTCTTTATCACTTGGTACATTCTGTTTCTGATACAGGGAGGCTTTTTTGGCCACCTATGAGAGAGTCAAGAAAACCTAGTTAGCACTGATATGAAAACAGGGAGGACTTACAGGGAGAGATTGCCCCCATTCATCCACCTATAGGGCCTTTTGGCTGGAGCTACACCCCTAGCCTGGCCCAGGTAATCCAGCTCCCTCCTCCCCTCACCAGCACCTCACTTATCATCCCTGTTCACTGCCTTCACTGACCTTCAGCCATGTTGCCTGGTACAGATTGTCTTGATCTGCTTATCCACTGTCTGGATCTACTGGGCCATAAAACAAAAGGATCTCTGTTTTTTGTGTATGTGATATTGGGGATTGAATATCCCTGAATTAAATCCCCAGCTCTTTTTTCTTTTTTTAGATAGGGTTTGCTAAGTTGCTAGATTTCCAGGATGGCCTCAAACTTGCAATGCTCCTGCCTCTGCCTCACAGAGTGCTGGGATCACAGGCCACCACCTCCAGCTAGGATTTCCTGTCTTACTGCTGTGTCTCCAGAAACATCCTCAGTATACATTGGTCCCTCAAGTATGTCAAGTATGTCAAAGACTAAATAAATCAAACCCTATTTATCAAATTCTTGGTTATATGGAAATCTAGTGTTGTGGCCATTCTTTATCTCTGTTGGCTGCTAGGTAAGGAGATGAAGAAACCTGGTCTCTACCTTCAGAAATTTCCAGTTTGCTTTGCACTCTTTTTGTTCAGCCACTTACCCCCTTGAAATTTTGTGACTGGATTCTCTGGTACTGAGGAAGAGCTGTGAGGAAGTAAGAGGAAGACCACTAGCTGAAAGAGTAACTTTGCAATGTAGCACTGTTGGCCACATCCTGTCGGGTGGGGCCTCTGGTAACAATATGGTGGAGGGCTGTGTTCCTGCAGTCAGCTAAAGGGAGACAGGCTCCAACATCTGCAAACCAAAACTGCTCCAAGAATAACTCATCCATGAAGACAGCATATTCTCAAGGTTGTTCTTATCTCAGAAACAAAGAAAATCCATGCTTTACCTTAAACTCTCTTTTTAGTCACAGTAGAATTTGGTTTCCAAACTTCTCTATCTCACTAATTTGTCAGCCTTTTATAGACCTGTGTGTTTCTTACTCAGTTACCATTTTAACTGTAGTAACTTGACAGAACTGGGAAGCCATGGTTTCGGTTGCTCCAGAGAGCCAGGAAGACACACTCTCTTAGCTCCCTCAACTGAGAGAGACCACCACCTACGGAGGATGCTAGACAAAATCCAGTCCCGTGAGCTAAAAGTAGCCCCCTACCTGGGATAGTTTTATGCATGCCTGACAGTTCTAGTTGCCTACCACAGAGTTTCTGGGATGATGAGATGTGTAGACCATCTGCCTGCTACTCAAGGTACATGTGACCTTTGGAAGCATCAGTATCACTGCTCCTAGGAGAGCTCATATATTGAGAGCAGGGTCTGTGGAATTAATTAGCTCACTTTTTTCTGCTGTGGGCTTTCTCTATGGAGTGTTCTGGAGACAGCTAGGCCTCTGCTGGTAATCTATAAGGGCTGAAGGTCCAAATGACATGGAGCTAGTATTGGTGTTAATTTTGGTGCCTGCCATGAAGCAGGCACTGTGTTAAAAAGGATCTGAGAGCTTGCAACAGTTAAACTCATGCCAAAATTTTGCAGTAAGGAGTGGCATAGTCTGGTGTGTTTCCACTTAAAATGTTTTGGGGTTTGTTGGTCTTTTAATTTATTTTCTGCACCAAAGCCAAGGGCATGGCAGATGGGAACAGGAGACAAGTGCTGTGCATCTCTCCAGGGTAATCCTGTCTCTAGTAAATCCATTCAAATATTTAATTTTCATTAAAACTCAGCTGTCTTGATGAGATGCCAGATATTAAAATGACATTCTGAGAATTGAGACATTTCGTTTGTAAATATACACAGAGGCATTGAAGCACTCAGCTCTTCTCATCCACATGAAAATAGAATTTTTCACTTTGACAGAGAAAATATGTTTCCATGAAACACCAACATCCCAGCTGTGAAATGTGGCTGGCTGTTCTTCAAGTCCATTCCTTCCAGAGTCATAAAGCCTAAATTTTTCAACATCACAGTGGAAGGTTGTAGGGTTATTTAACGTTGTCATAAACTCTGATCCTATCACATCCTGATCAGAAATGAGAACAGCTAGGTTCCAACTACTCTTGCCTCTTGCTGCCTTATCGGATTGTCTCTTCTCATCCCAGAGAAATTGAGTCCAGAGAAGATGGACTCCTGTTGAGTTTCTAATGGATGTGTCCATAGCCACAAGGTGCTGTAGTGCTCAAGGAAAGTTTGTGGGATGGCTGAACCCTGACCCGAAGGCCATCTCTAGAGGTTTCTAGCATGTGCCCCTGCCCAAACATGGGAAGGTTAAACTCATGACTCCTGGGACCCAACTTTGACCAATGATGATTCCCTGCCCTGACCCTCCACAACAGCATGTGTCCACAAGGCTAGGAATGTCCTGTGTACGTGCTGCCCAGTGGGGTAGGTGACACATGTGGCTGACAGCATAAGAGATGAACAGTAACTACTTACACTATAACCGAGGAGCTGAATTCTTAATGTTATTTATTTCCTTAAGATTTTTTATTAGTATATGTTTATAGTATGTAAAGATTATAGTACTCCTTGTACAGTGTTG